GGTTTTCGATCTGAAATTCGACCATTTATCATTATCTCTCAGTCTCACTACGGCACGTACATTAAGTTTCTTCCATTCGTCATAGACGAAATAATAAACCAGATAAGTTGGATAAAATTTGATTCTTTTTCAAAGTTATTATTTCATATAATGCATTTAAGTTGTTCAGAAAAATAAATTTAAAAAATAATAGGATATTTTAGATTAGAATTCTTTGAGTGTATTTTCAATCCTACTTCGCTTTATAGAATGCAAAAAAAAACTTCTAAGTTTTTACATAATTTAAAATGTTCTTTCATCAATGAATTCAGCTAAGAAAATTATACGATGAGAGCTAATAGTTGAAAGTTTGTCAATTATTTTAAATATTTCGTCATAATGATAAGAATCATATGCTGATGGAATATTGCAGATATAAACAATCTTTGTTTTTGTTTTTAAGAAATGTCTGACATAGGTTTATGTGCTGATATAACGTGTAATAATTCAACTAAAGAATTATATAAATGTCATTGTTGTTTACAACTTGTTTGTTTGAATCATTTAATTGAACATGTTGAAATAATAAAACAAAATAAACAACGATTAGATAATGTTCGTCATGAATTAAATACAATTATAACAACACTTAAATCAACTGTTGAAAGTAAACTATCCGCAATTGAACGTGAACAAAATTTAATTGAACAAGGAAAAAGATTTCTTCATGCGTCAAATAGTTCAATTGATGAAATACAAAATATTTTTGAACATATTAATCAAGCTATTCAGTTACATTGTTTAGGTAAAACTAAATTAGATAATCTTTTTTTTTTGTTTGTTTTTATGTTTATTTATTCTTCTTGTTTTTACTTTAATTTTAGATGTAATAGTGAAAGTCGAGCCATTAGTATCGGAAACTAAAAGTTGTTCTACTGTTGGCCAATATAATAAAGAAAACATAAATTCAAATGGTAAATTGAATTTTTATAGATATTGATTAACATTGAGAAATACTTGTTGAAAACCAAAATATTTCATTTCTACTTTAATTAATTACTTTTTGAGGATTATATTAAGCTCATAAATAAATTTTGATAAGAGCAGAAAAGCTCAACAGAGTTCCAATGGCGATTTTTAGTTTTGTTCATATATAACTTCAAGCAAATTTGATATTTTTCATAGAAAATTCTTTGCTTGCAATTGAGTATCTTGACGGCCGAACATTTATTTCGGTTGAAATTTTCAAAATATTCATGAACTTATGAAATTTTATCCACTCGATAGAAGTTTGTTTCGTTCTTTTGTAAGATAGAAGAATTTTATTGATTATTCTCTTTTTTTTTGTGTTTAATTCTAGTCGAAGAATCTGAAATTTCCGAAAGTAAGTGGAAATTTTTCTTAACTTTAAATAATGAATAATAAACATGATTGATTTAAGATGATAGATGCTCAACATTTATTGATCATGACTTTATAGATATATCATCAATTGAGTAAGTTTTAGATTTTCTATTAGAGAATATTCCAAGATTCTGATGACATATATTTCTTTCTTTTAGTGAACCAATAAAATCTGTTAAGGTAAAACAATTATATCTACCAAAGATTTGATAAAATCTTTTTTTTTTGAGCTAAAATATCAAATATTATCATTTTTTTCTTCATATCTAATTTATTTCATGTTTTATTTTCTAAATATTATATCAATTAATACTTTCTTACTCGAATGGAATTAATAGATACCATTCCATAAAAATTTGATTTATCTTTCTGTTGGAACAGATCAAGTTGCGATTTGTAACAATATTTCCTTCGTTCTTATTATAAAAAGATATTGATGTTGAGTATTTCTAGATCAGCATTAAAAATCCATAGTACAGAGAATAGACCAACTAAGAAAATGAGATTATATTTTAGTGAAAAATACAAGCCAATCTATTGAAAACATGTTAATATATAGGAAAAAGAAAGTGATCGACTCGCTGGAAATACTTATAATTATTTTCTCTCGTAGATTTGTATTTAGAATAATCATGAATATTTTATTTTTCAGTAGATGCACTCCGACTTGTATATAAAAAATTGATCCTTCGAAATACTAAATATATTGACAATAAAGTTAAATTAGAAAACGAATCCCTGTCATTGATAAAATAAAACTATCGTATATGATATTAATTATTTAGAAAAAAATAAAAGATTTGTGAATTGATGAAATTTTGAAACAGCAGTTATTGCTTTGTATTTTTCTTTTTTAAATCTATGAAAAATCTCTATTTCATATATATATTATTGAAATTTTGACAAATTACAATTCTACAAAAGATTATATTTTCAAATTTTATTCTATTTCTTATAGAAAAATCTTTGTTTTAAAAGATTTCTAACTTGAAATTCTATGAAATGTTTTTTTTTCTGAGCATTTCTAGATTTTTACTGACTAATAATTGAATTAGCTCATTAATTTCAAAGAGTAATTCTTCATAAATATTCATTTAACTTTTTAGGATCAAGATGTGAATAAAGAAAAACGAAAAGGAATTACAACTGTAATTGGTCAATGTCCATTAACATTTGATGGTGCATATGGTCTTACTCAAGGAAAACATTCTATGAAATTTTGTGAGCATACGAAAACTCGTCCAATCAGATTATATAACCATTTTATTGACAAGCATAGATTAAAACCATATTATGCTCGACGTTTAATACGAGCTATTATCGATAATAAAGAACCTGAAATAGCAAAATTATTTGATGAAAATGAGAATGTAGTTTATGATTTATGTAAAGTTTCATGTCCATTTACTAAGAAACGAATTCGTTTACCAGGACTTACTCAACCAATTGAATCAAAGGTACAATGTCGATGTCATAAAATTTCATTGAATGCATTAAAATCTCATCTTCGAAATTATCATAATGTTTCTGATGCATTCGCAAAAGATTTATTTGAATGTATGGAAGAAATTCGAAATAATAATGATACTACTTCGACATTATTAAATCAATCAACACGATTATGAAAAATAAAAATGTGGAAATTATTTCTGTTGATATTTTTCTTAGTCATTAGAAATTTTGTTCTTTTGAAAAATAAATAAAATTCAATAGTTTGATACCAAGAGCAGGGTTAAAAATTTCTATAGACAAGAGAGTTCTGAAAACTTTCAAAAGAAAAAAAGATTTTTTTTTTTCATGTGAAATTTTGTCTCTAGACACATTTTTAATAGTTATGATAGTTTTTCTCGAAAGCTAAAGTGTCTTTCTCAAGGCATTTAACATTCAAGAAAAATAATGATCGATAATAAGAAGACAATAATCAAACCTATGTGAATATCAAATATTAGTGTACATAACATCTGCTGTAGTCCATATTTACTAAGTTTTTTAAAATATGGAGAAGACTACATAGAAAAATCAAAACTTAATCTGATTGATTTCTTTTTTGTTGAGTAAATTTTCGGCAGTATATATTCATTAATGTGTTCTTCATGAATTGCATTAGTAAATACAATCATAAATTCCTTATATACAAGTCTCTATTGCTTTTTAACATGCTTACGATAGTCTATATTTTGAGTACTTCGTCTATGAACTTACAATAATAATAGTATCATTTGACAATCATATTATACGACTATGATCGACTTTTATAGTTCTGCACTTTATATTTCTGTAGTTACTCTTACTTGATATATTGGAAAGAAAAGAGAAACGAAAAGAATCGATTGTTATACTTCATCCTTGTCTTGATTAAAGTTTTAAATTTTCAGTCTAATATTATACTATTACAATGACAAATATGTAATAATATTCTGTTCGGTAGATACGGACGAAGTATTATCGTATACTGCTTGTCATGTTTATGCAAACAATCTTAAAAAGTGAAAAAATTCAATTTCGAAAGATTATTTATAAATTGAAAAAGCAATATCTGTCATATTTAGATGTCTTCAACTCATGAAAAGATTAAGCTGTTGTAACCCATTTGATATACGAATATTGCACAAAGAAGTATCATCGGAAAGATCGATTTAATTCTGCTCTTTCGGATGATGTTTAAAATCTAGATTTAATCTGCAGGGCAACTTTAAAGAGTAAGTGAAGTCCAATTAAATTAAATGGGTCAATAATATTTAACGAGATAGTATTATAATGTCAAGAAATTGTAATCAGTCAAACGATTGTTCAAAACTAGCACATTATATGACCAGTGGCTTTGTCTAGATAGTTATTAAGTATGTAAAGATTTGTTAATTCGTGGTATTGTGAAAGCTCTCCTAGAATAACTATTTTTATTTAAAGGTAATTCAAGTTCGATTGTTATTCAACCTTTAAGGTGTTATATATAAACATTGATCCAAAAGTATTGACAATAAGTTGTGAACAATATGATGTACTCGATGGTTGTCGCTGCGAATTTTCTGTTGATCTACGCATACACTTCCAATTTTTATTAATCAATACTCATTTTATTTCTGTACAAAATGTCACATTTCTTATTAATGCAACAGAGGGTGTGGATGGGTGTGGGTGTGAGTGGGTGTGGGTGTGGATGAAGAGAAGATACACACCCACACCCACATCACAATTATCAATGATATTTACAATTAATTCAGCTATTGAATCATCTGGATTTCAAGCTGCAATGGCATTTTATTTTCAAAGTATAGTTCTTTTCGTTTACGTGATTATTTAATGATTGTTTTCAAATTTAGTCATTACTTCATGTCCTCAAAATCTCGTTTTTTTTCAATGTAAAAATAAGAATTGTGTAGCAAAACAACCTTAATGTGATGGACAAAATCACATTGTAATGATGGAACAAATGAAAGTCAATGCAGTATTCTTTCTGTTTAATATGTTTCTTGTTCTAGAGTCTCTGTCTTTAACTAATATCAATTGTCAAAGCAAAAAAAGTTAATCTTGAAACATAACCTTTTTCTTCTTTACATAAAAAAACTAAAACGAAAGTATAAAATTAAATTAATAACTAAATATATGAGTTAATTTGGTTATTCTCCAACATCAAATAAAAAATGAGTATAAAGATGATAAAAGGTTGTATTTAACAATTTATATTTAACATTATTGAGATCATCTGAATCAATACGACTTTCTGCTGTACGTAAAACATTCATACCAGCAGAATTTAATTGTTTAAACATTTTATATCGTGCTATAGATGCTAGTGGGCATTCAACTTTCAGACGTTCACTAACAATACGAGCATACATATCATCATCTTCACCGCCCCAACCTCAAGAATTTGTTGAATAACCATTCACAAGTAGATATTGTTCACGATGCATAGCTAGAAGAAATATTCATAATAAGATTTAATTACAATAATACCACTATAGAAATTTGACCTTTGATTAAATAAAGCAAATCAACAAAAGTACACTTTCAAGGTTAGATTACATTGATGTATATTGAATAAATTTTCAAGATCGGTTATTTGAGTGTGGGTTTGTGAGCGTGCCTGCATAGAAAGGAACAACACTCACACCCACACCCTGTTGCTTGAAATTCGTTGCTTGCCATCTATTTACTTCAGTCAACTCAAAATACTCAGCAACCGATTTTTTCTTCAGTGGTCTCTGTTTACTCTTTCTTCCTTTCGTATGTTAGTATGTACAAAAAAAGATTTCAAATATGATGTTTTTTCCAAGCAAATAAAAACAACATTAAAGAGAATTGTGAGTGAATGTAACGTTCTTCGTAGCAACAACAAAATTATTCTTTCATTTCGAAGTTTAGTATTACTTTGTTGGCAACAACTATGTCTCAGACGGTAAAAACCGATGGCAAGTATGTGGAATAGCAAGATGTATTATTTTTATTATTTCACATATTATTCGACACATTTTTAAAGCATCGAATTCTGAAAAGATACAGAATACGATATTGAATTCGATTACTAACAGTACAATACTGCTCTTTCGGGCACATCTGTTTCTTCTAATATATAAAATAGAATTAGGCCGGAGTATCTAAATGATAAGGGATTGCGTAGAATAAATTACACCATCAGTATTTGTAATATTTCTTCTCTATTTTTCAGCGAAAAAAAATGCTATTTTATCAAAGGAGGCACTTTAAATTCTGCACACAAAGTATATTTCATTTAATGAATACAGTTTCCCTCATTACTTTTCATCTCATGTTTTTGTGACGAAACGCTTTATCTCTTCAATCCACGTTGCTTTTATTGTTATTCAATTCCAATTCATGCATTGAGCCAGTTCGTTCCATGAACTGTAGTCCAAGTGGCATTAATCGGTTGAATCGGGTGGTCATGATTCTTGAGGGTGAAATTAGGAAAATGTTTGGCAAATCATTTTTCTGCAAGATAGTGTATGTGAGGTCTAGCACCATCATGTTGGTAAGTCCAATTGCTCCTTAACATTTTATCACCACATTCGAGAGCTTTTGGACGGACTACATTGATGTAAACCTCTGCATTCACCGTTCCGTTTCCCAAAATGACTGGTATTGTTAAGTCTTCAGCACATGTGCCCAACCACACCATCACTTTCTGGATATTCGGTCTTCTGATGAAAACGACCTTTTCTATCAGCTTCTTCTCTACTGGCAGTCCATACTCAGCCGTTTTGTGAATTATATATGCCGTCAAGGTCAAAAACCTTTTCATCTGCGAAAAGTCATCTTTTTAGTGTCATATTTGCAGCAGTTATTTAACATCCAATTAGCAAACGTAACCCTCTTATTTTTTTTTTGAAGATTAGCTAGCTTAGGTTGTTTTATCTTTTTGTATGGCTTACAGTCAAGATATTCACGGAGTATCCGCTGTATATACTCCTAGAAATATTCATTTATTCAGCTAATTTTCTTGTAGACGCTGGTTGTTTTTGACATAAACGGTTTTTAACCTTCTCAATAGGGGCTATTGTATGTGTCGTGTGTGGATAGCCCTGGGAAGACGACAGTGTGATAGAACCAGCACCATTGATCATTGTGTACTCAAAAAGTGAGTACACTACTAAAATCGGTCAGTGTGTCCGTCCGTCCGTTTATCCGATAACTTTCGAAAGGAGAGTCGGATCGTGATGAAATTTTCTACACAGCACAGTCTTTAGAATATCTCGGTCGAGTTCGAAGATGAAAAGGATCCGTCGAGAAATGGCTGAGTTATCAAAAAAATGGTGATTTTTGACCAGGCCATCCCTGAGGGGGGGT